CCAGGGATTTAGCTCAGTGGTTCCACCGCCTGCCTTGCAATCGCAAGGTCCTGAGTTCGATCCCTGGTACAAAAAAAACCCCAAAAAACAACAACAACAACAAAAAAGTACATTTTTCTACAAGAAGTAGAAAAATGACAGAAAGGCCTTATTGAAATGTATAAAAATCAGGTACAAAAGTTGCAAGAAGCAGCTGAAATGATGAAAACCAGATATGAAAATTTGCTACATGAAAATAACCCAATAACAGAAAGCAAAAATAAAAAATCAGAGATGGTTGATAAAAATCATAGTCTTCTGACAAAGCTCTCTCTTGAGGAGGAAAATTATCCTATTCAGTTGAAGTGTGAAAACCTTAAACAAAAATTAGGACAGATGGATGCAGAGAATAAAGAACTTGAGGAGAAGCTAGCAAACCAAGAATGTCTTGAGCACAGCAATCTGAAGCTTAAAGAGAAATCTGGAGAATATTCAGCATTGGCCAGGCAACTAGAAGCTGCTTTAGAAGAAGAAAGACAAAAGAAAGCACAACATCAGGAAGTGTGTTTGAAAGAAATACAACATAGGGCGGGGGATTTAGCTCAGTAGTTCTGCCGCCTGTCTTGTAAGCACAAGGACCTGAGTTCAATCCCCGGTACCAAAAAAAAAAAAAAGAAAGAAAGAAAAAAAGAATACAACATAGTCTTGAGAAGTTGGAGAATCAGAATGAGAGTATTAAGAATTATTTACAGTTTCTTAAAACATCTTATGTAACAATGTTTGGATAAATTGTTGAACTTATTTTCTATAAGTAGGATTTTACTAAGTCTAAAATGTGATTAGGTAAAAAAAATACTACTGGTTGTTACATTTCATGATTCATGGGTAGTAGTATTAGATTTTTTATGTAAAGACATTTGAAACATAATTTATTGTGTAATCAAAACTTTAAAACATGACAGTTATTAATATTCCTTTTTGCTGGATAAGTCTCATTTAGCTCTTAAAAAATATATTGGCTTTTTACAATTTTTTTTCTCACACATATACAGAAGTTGGAATCATTCTATATGATGTCTATAGCTACCATTCAAGTGAATTTTTAATAATTCAGGCCAATTATGAGTCAAATACATGATTTAAAAATATATATAATCATTTTATTTTGTGGTGCTATATAAATGTAATAAAAGAAAACATTTTGAATTTTAATTTTTAATAATGGTACAATCACATACTTTCCAAAGATACCAAATGTGTAAATAGACTTAATATTGCTTCACACACAAAAAAACCCACTAGCTTCCTGGCTTCTTATTGTCTAAGGATAGTTTCAAATGCTTTTGCCTGGCATTCAAGGCTCTCTATAGCATAGCTCCTCCTAAATGTTTCTTTTTACCTCATTTCTTCCATCACCAGTACTGTGCTCTTGAGCTAGTTATTTAAAGAACTACTCCCCAAACCCATCAGAGGTCCTGCATCACCTGGGCTCCTGGGCTCCAAAGGCTGGGACTGAATCATCTGATACCCTCTGAAGTCAGGGGTCATGAGTGATGTTGTCCACCACCTAATCTCACGAAGTGAGGGGAACTCTGTGTTAGTTACTTTTCTCTCATTGCTGAGACAAAATACCCAAAACTCACAGTTAAGGTTTATTTAGCTCACAGTTGGTAGAGGTTTGAGTCCATAATCGGCTGGGTCTAAGGCAGAGTGGCACAGCAGACAGGCATCGCAGAGGAGAAGCAGAGGAGAGGTGGGCAGAAGGTAGCAAAGCAACAAAGGACAAGACAACTTCTTTTAAATGTCCCTTATAGTGTATCTAGGCTAATGGGATTAGGGCTGTGCCCAACCAATCAATGGACTGATTTAGTAATCACCCACCCTTAACCCTAGCACCCTTAATCCTAGCATTGCACCGTGAATCAATCATACACTGTAGATTCAGTCACCTGTCAAAAAGTGCCACCTATGACCACATGAGGCTTTGAGGGGACATCGAGACACAGCCATAACAGGGACAGTAATTCTCCAGGAGAAAACTGGGCTACTAATACGAGAAGTTAGGTGGCAAGATAGCAGAAGTCCACTGCGACTGCCTTGAGCACTCTGGACAGATTTAACCAATGTCTATTCCAAAAAGTGAGGAGCTACACGAACTTAGTAACTCACTGGACGTCTTCCATGATACCTGACTCCACAAGGGTATATCACGTAAATTCAGTTGTCAGGGCTGTCTCCTTCTGTGACACACAAAATCTTATCTATTCCTAAACCCATCTACTCCATTGCAATTCTGGCCACTTTTATTTAGATCAGACCTTGTGAGGCAGCCAAGGCCTGGTTGGTGAGGTTCACATATACAAAGTATACAGAAAGGAAAGTTGTGCTCCATAACATAACTTTTCATCTTAGATTGCAGAAATTTAAGTGTAACTACAGTGTTATCCAAAATGATGCAAAATGAACAAAAACAACACATTCTATAGTGAATGAAAGAAAATGTTTTAAGTTGCTCTTTCCCCACTTAAAGGTAACTTTTCTGTCATTATCTGTTTGCAAAAAGACACAAAACCAACAGTGTTTTTACAACATGTCAGGCTACAACCCTGTAGCCATGAATTAAGGTCACAGAATTTGCCTGGAACATCTGTGGCTGCGTGGTAGTCACCATTAGGTCACTTTGCTTCCACAAGTCTTCAGTGCCATCCTCCGTACTCATCCCCTTCTAATTAGAACTTTCATTTCTCAGTTGTATAACAAAGCAATATTTACAAATACCTCTTGACCATAAACTCCTAAGAGTCAGGGTCTTCTTATTTTGGTTTGCCTAGGGCTTGGCATTTTATGTAGTGTATGGGATGAAGTTAAAAACTTTGCATTAAAGAATGCTACCTACCAATTAACTCCTGGTCCATGATTTGTACAGCTCTGGTCCACAATATGTATAGCACTTCAATACATATTGTAGCATTTCTTGTTACAAAGGCAATACGAGCTTCTCTCAATAGGCTAAATTCCAAGGAAAGAATAAAGGGTTAAGATAGCTGGTTTGTTTATACCTACTATGTGACATGAATTGGTTTAGGTATTATTTGAGTGAATTTTCACAATCCTATGAACTCTTACAAACTCAGTGTTTGGGCTTCTTGCTTAAGATAACTTCTCAGTGACAGGCCCTTGGTCAAATCCACAAGCTGACTCCAAGACTGCCAAGTCTGTGCTCACAACTTGTCAGAAAAGGAAAACTGAAAGTCACTTAAACAGCAGTGAAGTAATGGGAATGCAAAACTAAAATGTGACTCCAAGATTTCTTGAGTTTTCAGGAACTGTTAGGAAATGTCAAAAATGTCCACTTTCAAAAGTGTCTTCAAACACTGTTTGGCAGTAATAGAACTGAAAGCTGAAGGACAAAAAGTGACAATAAATGGATTGTATGAAAACTCTGGCCAATGAGATCTATTTTAAACTACTTATTTTGGCTTTACAAATTATTTTCGAGTTACAAATAGTAACTCCCATTTGCATTGCACTTTATAGTTCACAAATACATGAGAAAAACAGACAATGTTGGGGATGGTGGCTGTCAGTAGGAAATGGAATGAAAGGGAATAATAAGTCATATATCTAGTCAATCTTCCTTTAAAAAATTAACTTTAGCATGCATTTCTAACACCATCTTCTATGTCATATAATGAAGAATAGGCATGATAAGAAGTTGACTTGAAGTTCAGGGTTGTGAAAAGCAAGCTAGCATCAGAGCCACCATTGAAATTGTGTTAACAAGATAGTCCAGCTTGATATATAGCTCCTGACAACCAAACCTCAGAAATAATTCCATCAGCATGTGAAGTACAGATAGGACCACAAACCAAACCTCAAAAGTGACTCAAAATACCACTTTTAAAAATTTTCCCTTCCTATAGGAAGGCAGACCAAGAGGAAGTTTATTCTCCCACCCACAAATTCCCCAGAAAGCTGAACTTTTGGCTAAAAGGTTTTCCTCTGGTCACACACAGTCAGTACCCTGGTCTCTAAACTTCTCGCCTCTTTCATGGAGTATTTCAGAGACTAAGAAGCCAATCCTAAGAGTGCTATTGTCCTCAGGAGAACTAAACAGATGGGCAGAGGCACAAAACAATCTCCTGGTGACCAAGAGGCTATGTAGACATTTGCTGTTGCCTGATTTCTCAGGGCTGACTTTTAGCCAGTTACTTATGTATGATAATGTGCTGATGGCACTGTATACTAAATACTGTTTTGTTAGCTCTTAAATTTTTATATTTCTGTTCTCTGTGAAGGTGGATATAGATTACTGGATACACTTCAGAGATTCATATTAAATTTAAATTACCTCTGACCTTCACATAACATTTATGCTTGATGATATAGTTTGCTTAAATACAGCAATATTAAATATAATCGTCATAAACGATCCCAGTCAGTGCTCACTTAAGAAAAAGTTTTAAAATCCGTTTAAATGAAAACTTAATAAGAATATAAAAGGCCAGTTAATTCACATTTCTGAGAGAACTCAAAGGTTTTTTTTTCTTTCTTTTTCTTCTTAGAGGCCAAGTGAGCGTGTGCAGAGTGATCCTTCTCTCTCCTTTGTGTAACTCTCACCCCGGAGGTCAGGCAGTAACTAAAGCCAAAGAAACATCAAAATACTGTACGAAGTATTAGCGTGTGCCATCATGCAGCGGCCGGGTCCGCCTCAAGATTAGGAAACTGTTTAAATATCAGATCGCCGGCAGGCGTCTCGGCCCAGGCCTGTGCGAGGAACGAACTGCTGTCCCAGGCGAGGGGGCGACTGGGGAGCCTGGAAAGCCACCGTGCGCCACTGTAGCCTTTCTCCAAGGCCACAGGTCGCCTCAGAGTCGGTCTCGGGCTGCGGTCGCTGGAGCCTGTGGTGGGACCCGCCCGGGCGCTGGGCGCTCGGAGGACACCCGGGACCCCACCCTGCGCTTCTGGAGGGAGGGCGGGGGAGACGCCTAGCAGGGGCTTTGCTAATTGCCAGAGCAGGAAGTGAGCTCGAGGAAGAAGCGGTGGAGACCCGGGACGAGCGGGAGGAGGAGAAGCGGGGCGCACAGAGCCGAGGAGGTTCTTCCCGGTGCGTCGGCACTGCAGGACCTCCAGTCCCCCGCTCCCGCTCTCCTCCCCGGTCCCGGAGCCGCTCCGGCTCCCGGCTGCCCTCTCCCCGCCCACATGGCTTCGCCCCACGACCCTCTGCGCTCAGGTAAGGTGACACCGCGCCGCACCCTCACCTGTAGCGGGGACTGCGGGCCGGGAGCTCGTGGGGCTCGCGCGGCTGTGGCCGGGCGTTTGGGTTCGAACCTCGGCGACCCCCGAGGCCAGCTCTGGACACCTGGACCCCACGCCAGAGTCGGGCCAGGCGGGGACAGCGGCGGTGTCCCCTCACCCTGGGCCGCCCTGTGAGCGGCTACAGACCCCGCGCGCGCCCGGCCGCTTTGTTCCTGGCGCGGGATGCCAGGTTGAAACAAGTCGCGCCAACCTCCGGCAGAGAAGAGCGCAAGGAGTATATTTCGTTTTCTCCGCCCTGCTCTCCCAGGTTTCCAGCTTTCACGCCTTCTGGCTTCTCTTCCTCCCTCCTCGTTGCACTTTTGTGAATGTTGGGTCCCCCACCCCCACCCCCACCCCCGGAGCTGTTTCATAAATTAGTATCCACAGAACCCAGAGGCTGAGCCCGCCTGTGGAATCCCCACCTGTGGAGGCCTTTGATTAGAATAGCCTCTTCTCCTGTCCTTATTTTAAAATATTGCGCTTTCGTACCTGAGGCCAGTGTAGATTTTTCTTTCCTCTCTCACCTCGATTTTAAATCCTTTGTAGAATTCACCTTCTAGGAATTCTCTCTCCCATAACCTAGGTGCAAACTCGGTGAAGGTTTGTGGAATACACGACTGAACGGCTGATATGCCCCCTCGGGGTGCACTGGGGCTGTACCTGGTTTTGCTGGGTTGGACATGTTGGGAAAGAGCCAACTGAAAGAGATGCAACTGCTCGGACAGACATGTTTCTTATTTCGTTTCTGGAGCCTGGGCAGGAACAGAGCTCCACTAGTCCAACACTAATTTGTGGCTTGAAAACCTAGGAGGTGACAGAATGTGTCTGAAGGTGGTCAGAAGGTTAAACCCAACAGGTACCTTGGCATTGTGATATGCGGGTCTGGGGGTGGGGTGAGAGTTGAGATTAAAAGAAGATTTAAATTCTTCAAGGGGGGCATGGTAAACATTTTGTTGATTGGCCATGTAAAATAAATTGTCTGGATGTCCATCTATCCTTTTTGTTTGGAAAGCAGAAGAGGAAATAAAAGGGGAGACCCTCCCTCTGACCTCTAGCGTATATCCACCTCTGCTGAGAACCTAATTGACAGGTGTGGAGGGATGTTTGGACTAGATTTCAGTAAGAGTGGCCTCAAATCTCATTGAAACAGGTCTCAAGAGAGATTCACCCCATAGGAATATAAGTGAACTCTGTTTGAGGCACCCCCAAATCAGCAGCACCAGAGGAGGTGGGGGCTGGGAACCCACTCAGCAGTGATCTCAGTGATAAAAAGCCTCTGTAAGTCAAGAATGCAAGGTCATCAGGGGAGATCTTAGGTGACTGTAATAGCACCAAGGATATGGAATTCCAGGTACCTTCAATTTGCATGGCCCAGCCAAAACAGATGCCCACAACCTGGAGCGGAGGACTTGGAAGTCCAAGCACAGGTGGAATGGTGCAACATCAGAGTGTATGACAGGAGGGTATCCTAGGAACAGATCTGTCACTTTGACTTTAGGAGACAGAACCCAAACCTCTAAGTGAGATCTTTGGGAAGAGGTAGACCTGGGGCCCCAAAGAGAGTAGGGATAGCCTGTGTCACCTGGCACCGGTTGTTGAAGACTTCACAGGTTCTAGAACATGGTCTCAGTGTCCCTTCTCACTCTGAGGTTCCATCAATCAAATGAGATTCTTCCACTAAAACACACCCAGTTTCCCCTTCCAAACATTCATTCCGTTTTTGCAACCCCCAAGAAACCTACCTCCCTTCCATTTCTACAGTGAAATCACAGTACCAGAGGACCTAGGAAAATGGTCTTTTCATCTCTCCACCCCAGACTTGTTACCAGACTCTCACCTTGAGCCTAGCTCACTCCCACCTGGTGTTTTCACACTCAGGCTTGCTGGCTGCCAACCCGTTTACAAAAGGTGGTCAGAGTGATCTCTGCAGAACAAGTCACATCCTGTTATCTATCTGCTTAGAGCCACTTTCTTACAAGTCCTCAGTCCTTGAGTGGCTTCCACACTCTGTCTGATGGATCCTGACCTTTCCCCTAAACTACTCACCTAGTGCACCATTTGGTGTCCTGCTCTCTGTATGGCAACCACACCGCCTCCTTTCGTTTCCTTGAAACCCCTCCCACTCTCCTGTCTCCTGGCCTTTACATAGATTGCTTCCACTTTTCCTCTGGATTTCAGCTCAGAGGTGTCGCAGCCCCAGCTCCATGCAATATACCCTCACACATCCCTTCCTTTTCTGACACTTGTCACTGTTCTAGGTGTGATTGATTACTTGGCCATCATCACTTTCCGCCATTGGAGTGTAAACTCCTTATAGAGACCATGTCTTTTTTGCCCTAAGCTTGTCTCTATCACCTAGCCCAGTACTTAGCAGAATCTAAGCCCTGCATAAATACTTCTCACCTCCATGAATGAATGGAAGGTACAGAATCTAACCAAATGTGCTTCAGACTATGGGGGAAAAACATTCTTCCCATATTGGGATCTTAAAATTTGTTTACTTACTGAGTTAGGCATATTCATTTAAATTTACCTTGTAATGTGCTCACTTCGGCAGCACATATACTAAATTTACTTTGTAAAGTTTTTTTAGGTGTATATATTACTATGTTATGAGGTTAATTAAAAATGTAACTTTTTACATTAAGAAGATTCCCAAGACATTTGAGGTCACAGGGAAGGAAATGGCTGTGCTGGTTATCATTGAATGGGCCAGAATTGTCTGTGAAATGTGGGTAAAATCTGGTTCGTGTTCATAAAGGGATGATAAAAAAATACAGTGAGTGTGCAAATTAAAAATGTATTATAGTAAAAGACACACTACTAATGACCCACCTCAAAATATTTTCCCTTGATTTGAACACGATTATCCCATCACTCTTGCTACTTTCTGAAGCAGTTCTAGAAGTCCTCTTTTGTATTTTTCCAAGGGGTAATCAAAAATACAGTAAATGCTGCTGCCAAGTGCCATCTAGCAGAAAAGAAAGCTTGTGAAAACATTATGTTGTGTCCTCATCTATCTTATTCCCCAGATCTAGCACTATGCAATTTCTGGCTCTTCTCCAAAGTCAAAATGACAGTGAAAGATAAACATTTTGACTCTCTTCAGGACATCAAGGCAGCCACAATGGTGCAACTAAAGACACTCACAAAAGAGGACTTCCAGAATTGCTTCAAAAAGTGGCAAGAATGATGGCATGTGTTTGAAGTGAGAGGGAGTATTTTGAGGGGGATTCATGGCAGTGTGTTTTACTGCAAGGTTTTTTAATAAAGTAAACATTCACTTTATATTTTGACCATACCTCTTAGAGATATTAAAGACAGAGCAAACCAGGAGACTGTGAAGCTCCAGGTTGAGGAAGGGGACACTTGGAAGGAAGGTTGGTGAGGTAGAGCCTTTACTGCTTGGTTGCAGGGAGTACAGCCACATAGTCTCCCTTGTCCTGTGTAGCATGGCTACTCCCTGGGAGCCCTGGCCTTGGTCGGCAATCCATCGTGGCCTGTTTGGAGGTATCGCACATGTCACTGGCCCTTCATAGTTTTTCTATGAGAAGTGATGGATCTGAGGTGGCCCAGGGAGTGGCACCCAGGACTAAATGGTGAGCCTCTTCCAGGAGCATCTGTATGTCCAGAGCTGGACCAGTTCTTTTTCCAAAGCCACCGAAGATGGTGGTAACAATGTGTGATCTTCCTTTCCTTCCCTCTTCCCTCCCTCTTTCCCCTCCTGTGGGTTTTCCCAGTGTTCCCTTCCATTCTTCACTGCCTCATAATGCCTCTGCTTGCTCAATTTTCTTCTCTCTCCTGGAATTGGTCTGAATCCCCTGTCAAGTCCCTTTGTCTTCTCTCTCTTCTCTTCCCTGCTCCTTCTCAATCTGATCCTTGTCACTGTGCTAATGAGACTGCTCTCCAGAGAAGTCAATGGAGGATTTCACTTGCTTGTTCAGCCTCATGACCAACGGAGAAGGAGCAGGTTGTCACCACCACCAAGGCAACATTGCTGCATGTACCCCAATATGTACCCCAGCCCCTTGCTGTGTGTAATCCCTAGTGTGGCTCAGGACACCAGGGCTTCTTTATAACCAGTGATGAAGGCAGCTAGGGGCCAAAAGACAACTATGGTTAACAAAAAAGAACATAACTTTAAGTCTGAAATTATAAGTTGAAAGGGTTACCTTTAATTCTTCACTAGAAAGCACAAGCCTACTCTTTTGGCTCACAGGGCTTGGGAAACCTGAAAGGTCCTGCACCTCCTCTCTTTGTTGTCTCTGAAAGGACATCATAGGAGAAGATTTTTGAACTTCCTCTGAGAAACTGCTTCTAGGAACTACAGCCCCTCTCTAATGTGACCGAAAAGGGCGATGTCAGTATATGATGGCTGCCCTGAGCAGGGTGCTGATGTTCTTTGTGCAGAGGCTGCAGCACGTGGTGTTTGATCCCTGTGCCCCTGACTGGGCATGTGTGGAGATTTTGGGCTGTGGGTGAGCAATGAGGTTGTGGATTTAGAGTTGACTGTGGAGTGATGCAGGCTTTGGTGGGGTTGGGTTGAGGCTAGGATGGGGTGAATGTATTCTGCAGGTGGGAAGAACATAGATAGGGGTCAGAAGGGAGACTTTTAGGGCTCCCTTGAATTGTTTCTAGCCCAAAAAAGATATGTTGAAATCCTAACCCCAAGTATCTGAGAACGTGACCTTATATGAAAATAGTTTTTTTCCTGAGGTATTCAAGTTAGAGGTCATTAGAGTAGATTCTAACGCGATATGACAGGTGTCCTTATAAAAAGGGGAAATCTGGATACAGTGACACCCTTCTCCCCCAGGAGTGTCTGTCAGATGATCAGTGCATAAGCCACTTCCAAAAGCTGATGATCCTGGAAATCTGGCAACCTGTGAAGCCAGAAAGTCTCTGATCCAAAGTCTGGCTCTTCCACTTAAGTGT